TGTGTGTGTGTGTGTGTGTGTGTGTGTGTGTGTGTGTGTGTGTGTGTGTGTGTGTGTGTGTGTGTGTATTTGTGCGTATAGAAGTAAAATATCAAAGCAATATAAAATAGGATAATATTTATATCTTTTAAAAATCGCAGAGTTTAAATGCTTTGAATTTCTTTTAATATCATATTTTTATTAAAAAGACTAGGTTAAAATAGATAGAGAGATAATACGTACTCAATATTTTAATCTGTGGCATCCATGGGGACGTGTAAATGTTTTGGGGCAAACCAGGTGGCAACTTCTCGGGATTTGGTATCTTCATTAGAACGCGTACGGGTGCTATTTTGCCTAATGAGGCGTAAAGCACTTTCAGGAACTCACGTGGAAATGTCTCGATCATTATCATCGAGCCAAAAGTGAAATAGATGAAACCGTCTTTGCAGTCATTTAACCACTTCTCTAATTCCTGTAGGAGAGAATAGATATCATCGCGAAGAAAAAAAGTGGAATAAATTATGTATATATTCGAAACTTATTCATACGTACAACATTCGTATTCGTAACATTCGTATACACTAACAGTAGTTAAGTGTTATTTACGCTATCTTTTCGCATAGATAGTGTAGATAATAATTAAACAGTTAACGTATATCATGTTATCTCTTTACATTGTCTTTACATTGTCTCTTGATGATTTAAAACACAGAGAAACAGAGAAAAAATTGTTTTGCTTTTAACATTAAAAAAAATTTGAATTAATCAGATAAACTAAAATACAAATGTGAAAGTAATTTTATCGACTCATCAAAATAATTATGTGACACGTTTTACATTTTATTTTGGTCTCCTTTAAACTTCAAATGTGCGTAAGAAACATAAATAACTTGATCTCGTGGAATGGAAGACTTCTATGCCGGATTTCCTTTCACGGACACATATTAATTTTTCGTGCTGATAAAAAATTTTTTATTTTATACATGATGTTATCAACGTTGTTTAAATCACGAGCGTTCGCAAGTTCACGATTTGCCGATATGTGTTACATTACGACAGTGAAAACGGGGGTCACGGAGGACGAACTGTGACAGTCGACTTACAGGCGGTAACGTTAAGCCCTCGTCCTGGATGTGAATTCCCGCCACGTCCACCGCGGCAGGTGTCTTCGGCTGTATCCCATTTAGTGTGATGTGAGAGTTGATGAGGATCAACGACATTTTCTGTTCCAGTTCCCGCACTCCCGGCATGTCCGGCCCGAAGTGGTCCCGTATCAACCTGTCTTGCGCCCGTTTCGTCAGGTAATTGAAGTACCACTTGTCGTAGAGAGTACGCAGGATGTTGTACATACGTTGCCAAAAGTTCATAGTACCGGTGAAGCTCAAAGTGTTGCTCGGCACGAAAGCCAGACTTTCGGGCTGAGCGATCAGCGGAGGTAGCCATGGGTACAGCGTCGTGGTGCTGACCCCGATCAAGGGAACTTTCAGCAAGTGGGCGATGATGCCGAAACAGTGAGCACCAAAGACCTAACGGAACAGAACGTACGAGTACCCTGAAGTATAGTACCCATTGAAGATTTCAATGTGCAAAACTTGAAATATTACGTGAATTGTGACGATTATTTGACCGGTAAGAGAGAACGGGAGAAGCTTTTCACATTTTTCAAAGTGAAGTAAAAGAGTAATAATAATAAATAATATTACATATTGTGAGCAAGGATTAAGAAAACCCACAGGAAATTAAGTAATCTGTTAGAGTTGATAAAAACGCAAAATATATTTTATAGCCTATAGAAAGTTAATAAATAAAGAAATTATTTATGTTATTCATAAGATTATGTTAAATGCATAATAAATAATTGTGTTTCTGTAACGCTGCAGATGCAGGTGCAGCGTTATTATGATAAAATTATTTTCCCGAACGTTAAAGCAAGCGACTTTTCAGCAGATTTATACGTTTTTGTATAAAATTTATTGATTAAATGTAATAGCTTGCGATAAGATTAATATAAAATCTTATCGATAATCTATTCTTTTATTCAGCATGTTTTACAATAGTAATCATCTATTTATTTTAAATAAAACACATCTCCAAGCAAATGCTAGTTAATTTCCATGTCACAAAATTTTATAAAAAGCATTTTAATTTCGATTATGTATTAATAAACAATAAGCGTCAAAGTTTTTAAAGATATTCAATTTTCAGACATATATGATTTCAAATTAAATATTAATTAACGGTTACTTTCGAAATATTTTGTTATATTCAAAGAAAGATATTGTTCTAATAAAGATATTGTTCTTTTAAGAAATGTCTTTGTTTTCTTGCAGTAGAACTTAACATAAAAATTCGACAAGCTTTTTATATTAATTTAATATTTAATTTGACACTTTGATCTCCAGCGATTTTAAAATTAATTAAATCTTTCATTCTCATTCAAATTGTATTAAATTATAATTAAAGTGTGACAATATTTAATAACATATAAGATAAGAAGACATAAAAGATATCTCGGCAAAGATATTCAAGGTAAAAATAATTAAATAGCTATTAAAAATGATCAAGAGCAATTTGTACATGTAGTGATACATCATCGTCTCACGTACTATTTTCATATTATTGCATTGTGAACGAAGAAAAGTTCATTTTGTTTAAAACACGATAGCTATTAACCTTCGTTTAGCTGAAGGTTGAAATGATCGTTTTCCATTTTGGCATTGATAATATGAATGAACATACATACACTTTATTGCTATGTATGCATGCCTCTTCCATGTAATTATTAATTAAAATATAAATATACAAAAAATAAAATTAAAAGAATTTTCTTGAAAGTAGGTCTGATTTTGTTATAACTGAACTAGTGTGTATACATTTGTTGTCACTTGAAAATGAAGGAAAATATATGTTCGAAGTTTGGTAAAAGTGAGAAAAAAGAAATTTAGTACTGTCCAGTGCAGACAAAAAAAAAAAAAAAAAACAAGGCCTTATATTACTGCATAAATAAAAAAAGAATTCTTTTTCGATAACTGGATAAATTTTTATTATGACAATTTAGACAGAATAATTTTTTTTATTGTATACCTCTATAAGCACAGCATCGTAAGGTGGATTTTTTGGTCGTGCTAGCTCTTGAATTGACGGATATCCCAAATACGTACAAAGATCGTTTCCTCCTAATGTTGCAACAGCATACACCGGATTCGAGCCGAGTAATTGTTGCATGACATCGTACGATATGTTGTTCACCAGTTGCACAGGCATTGGCAACGTTACGATATCGGTGTAATTCGGGTAAGGCTTCTTCAGCGGAAACGTACTGACCACGTCGACCTGATGGCCCTTTCTAGCCAAACCCTTCATCAGCTGCTCGAACATAACGAAGTGACTCTTGCCTTGAAAGGGAAAAAGTCCAAGCAAACGATATCCATGGCAAATTGACAGGCAGAACAGCCAAGAAAAGATCACTGGTCGCATTTTTTCTATTGTTATAAAAATTTCGATCTAAAGCACCTGAGAAAAACAAATTAACTCCGTGACTAGCTTCTGAAATTCTATTACTTCTCTACCAAATCATCTTTCCACTTTAAGATGATTTTTAAATGAATTAATAAATCATTATTAATCAATAAGAATTTTTTCTCTTTTAATTTGCCAATTTTTTAATTTTAATTAAAGTTATTTACTCTATAATAGATTATAAAAGAATGTTTATTAGAAATAAATATAAGATAAAAACACTATTATAACATATTGTCGGCTACACGTTGTTGCACACGACTGACAATTTTAAATACGTATTATCGTTTAAATTCCATGTGTAATACGAAGTGGGGATGAATTCTGATTGCGTGTATGCGAAGATAAATGCTGTATAATACTACCAATTTACTTGAATTGATAGAAAATTTGAACATATAACGTGTCATAAAGTATGTCATTCCGAATAATTAGTTCCTTATAATTTACCGGTAAAACGTTATTTAATTGTTATTTGCAATATTTCGTCATTGCGATGACAGGCAAGAGTTCTGATAACATGTTTATCCTCACTTTATACTATTTTGTTATGAATTTATTGATAAGAATTTAGTAGTCTGTAATATTATCTGTAATGGCGAAGTCAGAGCGACATTTTAGCGAAATATATCAAATCAATTAATGACAAGAAAATTAATAAATATTTCTCCCTTTTACTTATACTTAATTTGCTTTTACAACAATTGCAATAAAAATGGAATAATATAATTTTCTGAGGAGAAATAGGTTGTAGGTTGTAGGAGAACGAAATACAGAATATTTAAATAATTATAAATATCGTAAAAACGAAAACTTGAGTTGTAAAATGTAATATGGGATCATCTGGTGAATTACATTGTAAACGACAAAATTATATTACTCACGACTTTGAATTCCCTGATTATTTTGCCATGATGTGTGTGCAAACATTGACTTATATAACGTAGTGAGAGGATAGGAAATGGGAAAATACTTTTAAAATACTTTTTTCCGCGTAGAAAGTTAAAATACATGTCCGATATACGTATGCGGTTTTGTTTTAAAATTATCATCTCATTTCTTATGATATCGTATTGTATAAATTAGCATTTATATTGTATTATTTAATAATAAGCCAATATAATTAGATGAAGGATAAAATAAGCAATTAGCAAGGAGATATGTAAAATATCGGAACTTCTAATATATGTTATATACACGTGTATTGTTATGTAAGATAATTGGGCAAGACGGTTTTTAAAAATCTATAGAGTGACACGCAACATATTAGCGAGACGTTTAAACGTGATAGACAAGATAGCTCCAAATAGATCTGACTTTCTGATGTTTTTTGAGATGCGACATTTGTGCTCTTAAGGCAGAAGAGTTTATCTGGTTCTCTTTTTTTCTTTCTTTTCAATTGCGATCAGCAGTATATATATATATATATATATATATATATGTTATACGTAACGTGACACATATTATGCGCATATCATATGTATAAACAAAACTGTCATTGAACGCAAAAATAAAATCATCGAGATATCGAATTATAAAAAATTTACATAGTAATTATAAATTATTTTAACAAATAAGATAAACATCATTATAGCAATATAATGATGTTTTAACGAAATCATTATAAAGATTATATTATCTGTAAACGTTACTTATCATTCGTCGCATGATAAGTATTAAATTAATACGATTTTTGTTTGCATGTTTATATAATTTTTTTAGTTTTACAATCAGCATCAGATGCAATTTTCGGTCCGATTTCAGCGTCGACGTTCATTATTTTCCCTTTGCCGCTCGCAATTTCGCAATTATAGCGCTGTGCCTCAGAAATGGCTATGAATATAACATGAACGGAAAAATGTTTTAATAACTGGAAAGAAGATACGATTTCATTACGAAATACTTATGATACGAGGCAGAACCTTTGTCTATTACATGCATAGTAATGCATCGCTCGATAATTCAAGTTGACAAAGAAGAAGGACAGGGTTCAAAGTTGCATATGATACTGTAATCTCCGTTAGTTATATTTATCAGTAGAGAATATAAGAGATGTGAAATTAAATTTTACTATTGAATTATTATTTAACCTACGAGCAACCTAACAAATGTTTCTGACTTACAATTAGGTTAGCTTCAGCGTGAAACATTATTATTGGAAGTTCATACATAAATAATTAAACATACAACGCAACGTTAAATTTTTCGCATGCATTCCGTTAAATATATAAAATGTTCTGTTAAATTCTTTTACGAACATTATGATTTGGGCCACTACACAGATCGAAATCCTGCTGCTCATTCTTAGTCGTATCATAATTGTGTGAAGTTATTCGGAGATCTAAAAATGAAAGTACTTTTTGTATATGTTTATTAGATGTTACAATGGCAGGTTTTTATAAATACCCTCTCTTAATTCTTAATCTACTGAGTTTTTGTATTATTTTTATTTCTTTTTGTACCATTATATGTATCTTTTTTAACGAGAGAATTAAACAAGCGTTCCACCATTCCACAGTTTAAAATTGTTTTTTTTTTTTTTTAAGTCGAAAAATACCGTAATTTAAAACCGTAAAACCGCGATGTTTGAATGACATCGCTCGAAGATTGTAAGTAAGGTAAGATCGGAAGTAAGTAAACGGGTTTTCATGGTTTGTGATAATTTTGCAATAATTCACTCAAATATGTTAAATTATACAATGCGATAACACAAGATAATGTAGTTGCCAGAAAGAAAATCACATGTATATAACATAGACTCGTGCATTTTAATCTTATTTAAAAAAAAGCAGCATTCTACTTCGAATACTTTCTCGTTACGTAAATTAACGATTACAAATTGCCGATTGTATCAGAGATCACTAGAGATTGCAATCATGATATTGATTGACGTGATAATCTAACATCTTACATCTCGAAATTGTTATCGATGTAGTGACTTTTTAAACTGCTTTGTAATAGGTTTTGTATTAAAATATTTCTGATGTTACCGCAACTATCTTATCTGTTAGGACATCCTACAATTTTTAGTATCTCTGCAATGCGCTTTTGTATCAAATTACAATTAATTTGTCAAATTACAGTGTAATATGACTGTAGCTTCGGTAACGAGAATGCCTTTACGTATTACAACGAAAACGTTCTATGATGATCTTTAATCATACACTGATAATCTTTAATCACACATTGACACTACATTCCTAATTACAATTTATGATAGCATGTGTAAATTTTGTTAATGTTTGTAGAATATCATAGGGCAGGCCATCAAAAAATAAATATACATATATTCTTCTTATTTGAGGTACATTATATTATATCATAAAAGTGTACGAGATATGTTTTAAGCCGATATTCAAAGTTATCTTATGTTTATAATCATTTTAAACACGATCTTGATGCCATAAAATTATTTTATTGGTTGAGCAGAATCTCAAGATGACCTAATAATGAGACAAGTTAAAACGATTTTAAATATAAGAACTAATTATGAATACTGACTCTATTTCTTTTTTACAAAAATAGGCTTTATGTAAATACCCAAACAGCACAAAGTCGACTATTAGTCGACTATAAGTCGGCAGAAGAAGTCTAAAGTCGACTTTAGTTAGACTAAATGTTAACTTATAGCCGACTAAGTGTCAGTCCACAATAAGTATTTAATCTTTAAGCCGTAAGAAATTGACCAATCATAGTCGATTATTCTTTTCATATTCGATTATAATTGATCAATTTCTTAAAACTTAAATCACCTATTGTGGACCGACACTAATAGTCGACAAATATCCCAACTATAGTTGGTTACAAGTCAGCCATATCAGTCGACTTAACGTCGACTTTATGACAACTAAGTCGACATTTTTTACATGGTTATGGCGACTAGGCTAACTTTTACAGAAAAGTCGACGTTTAGTCGGTAATTTCGATAATTTATCTTTATAAGGCAAGATTTTTGATGTCTATATAATAACCTTTTAATTTTTGAATTTATTTAAATTTATACAAATAAAGTTATAGCAATTTCTTGATTTTTACGATGAATACAAAGAAACGTCAAAAATCTTATTGATGGAAGAATGCCGACATTCTATTTTTTTGTTTTTAATACAGTTTTTATATAACATAATATATATTTTGAATTTTTATGGCGATAAGAAATTTATGTAAAATTTTTTTCCAATTTGAGAATATTTTCTAAATATTCTCAGATTTATATGCGCGTTAGGGATAAGTTAGGGATAAGTTTATAAATCACAAAAAAGTGCATCATTATATTTTTTGAGATTTATTAATATAAAAATTTATCAAACATTTCGAATTTAATTCGCGCTATTTTCAATGGTATCATATGATAGTAATGTATAAAGGCTCCCGCACACAAAACACTTAAGCAGTAAATATGAGTAGTAAGTAAATTGACCAATCAACGAACGATTATTCTTCGATTCTCAAAATTTGTCCATAAATTTAACAACAATTACGATTGGTCAATTCCAATGGAATGATCGATCGATTGGTTAATCGAAGATGGCGAAAGAGACCCTAAGAAGTACGAGCAACACGAACAAACCTTAGATCTGTCGCGTTGCTTGCACTTTCCGCACTCGTGTTTCTTCTTCTTTCTTTCGCCAACGTCCACACATATGCGTATCTCGCTTCAGGTGTAAAAAAAAAAAACATTTAAGAGTGCGGCAATATGACGAACTTGAAAGCCGACGAGCTAGAGTTTCAAAAAAACGCTGACAACCCTGACTACCGTTACGGCCATTACCGTCACACGTGCGACCGAACGCAGTTGCGTGTCGCGTGCCATCAGCTGCATGTTGTACCGCCCTGCTCTCGAGACCGGGTTGTCGCGAGATACGTTCGTGGTGATTCCGCACAGTTCGGTTCCCCATTCTTTTTTTCCCTCCTCGCGTCTGCATGACTTGTTATCGGCGGCACGCGAGTATCACGCCGTTTCTCGTCCGAAGATCTACGCGCGCACCATCGCCGGCCGATCCGTTCGCCGAGGCAGCCTGTCGGGGAAACGTGAGGTAGGAGTGTCGGGGAGAAAGCTGTACGGAGCGGTCGACCGCAGCAGCGAGCCAGGATGCAGGAGTCGCAGCCGAAACGGGGCAAGAAAGGTGAGCAGCGGCGACGAGGCTACGTCTCGCGGCTACGTCGCGTTGTCGGAATGACGCGTGCCGTTTTAACATATGTAAGCGCGTGTCGCTGCTCTATGTGGCAAGTGTCGTCTGCTACGACCTAACCTCAAATCCGCACGTCGGAATTGGCCGACCGCGACGTCGTCCCCTTGGAGTCGCATATGGCGATTATGACACTCGATACCTTCGCACCTCCGTGGCACCTACGCGCTGCCACGGACGTCCGATGTCTCTCGCGACGCGGAAGGTCGTGAGACAGAAATCTGGCAATGATGCTACATTCTATCGTTTCTAATAATGTCTGATATTAGATAACGTTACGGAGTTAAACTGGCGAGGAGGAGCGTTTTAGAGTAGAGCTTTTCTAAGTTGGTTCGTAACTTTTATAGCGAGTTACTTTAGTTGGAGTATAGTGAAAGTGAAAGCTGTACATATATATATGTGACATATATATGTGACACATGGTGAAAGTTGATGACCTCTGAATTGTATCATATTTAATGTCATTACTTGTGAAACTTGTTTGATTATTAAGGTAGCCGTACGTTTTAATTATAATTTTCCTGATTCAATGTATTGCTTATCTTGAAGTCTTTTAAATATAATTTCTGCTGTAATTTTTTTTAATTTTTGTGTATTATTTACTATAAATTTTATTTTGAATTAAAAAATTAGTTTCCAGTAACAGAAGATAAGATAAATGAAATACTTTGTTGATATATATAGAATGTAATCTAATAAAATTTATATCTTTTTATTTTGTAATATTTCTGATTTGTATAGGTAGGAGAAAGCGCAATGATAGTGACGAGGATATTGAACAAGTATTGGCAGAGTTGGCACTGGAATATTCTGGAGAAAAACCAACAGATAATAAAGTCGAAAATAAGACAGAATTGGAGGAGCAAAAAGTTGATCATGAAGACAAAAAGAAAAAGGGAAAAGGATAAGAAGAAGGAAAAGGCTAGAAAAGAATGATATCAAAGATGAAGCTATAGACAATAATGTAGAA